GAGCATGCTGACAGATGGCTGCCTTGGGTTAACAAAGCAATTTGTGATCCCCCCACCAAGCGCTGGCTCCTTTCCCTGACAATGGCCCCCGACTGTTCTTCTGGCAAGCGTCTTGGACAGGTTTCCGGGCAAGCGCGTTGAATGGAGGTTCCCCTCTGAATCGGCTGGAGTACCTGTTCCACCTCACCCGTCGCCCCTTGATTGCCTCTCGGGGACATGTCCACCGCTGGGGCCTGCGTGTCGGAGGCATCTGCAGGGCATGGTCAAAAAAGTCAGGATGGAGCGCGCATAAAAAAACAGGTGGGACTTCAGGGGCACCGTCGCAGATGGCACCCTGACTCTTTTGACCATACCTTGCAAAGCCTAGTTAAGACGGGTGTGAACGTACGTGCGTACGAGTGGCAGAGACGGAGAGCCAGGGCAGCCTGGGGGAAGGATGTGTGGGAATCTCTTCTTCCCACCCTTCCAGAAGCAGCCCGTAGCACTCCGCGCGAGGCCCGGCGAGTCATTTCTCATTACTATCTCCGCGTCTCAGCGAATGGCTCGGAACGCCGAGCCTGTCCTGCTCTGAAGGGACAATTATGAACGCTAACGCACTGTCGAGCGGCCCAGGCGCCATTAATTAGACCAGTGTTTCTGTCGGGAGGAGAAAGATGAGCTTTTGTTTCGGGGTGAATTGTAATGAGTTGGGGCTTTTGAAAAACACAGTTATTGGCAGCCGAGGGAAAACATAAAATGAGATTTCTCTTTGGCTGAGGTTGGTCTGTTCCTTCTCGGTCTGGGTATCCTCCGGATGCGTTGGGCTGTAGCCGCCGTTGTCCTGCTCGTGATGGCCGTGTGGGAGGGAGTGATGGGAGTTGTGGTCCGAAAGCATGTGGAGGGTACCCATTTGGGGAAAAGCTTGCCGTAGACTAGCTATATCTCCCGTGCATTTTTGCCTGTGGTAGAATCACTTTTGGAGTTGGATGGCTAATAAATTCAAATACAGGTAGTCATCATTTAGTGACCACAACGGGGACCAACAACTCGGTCATTAAGCGAAGCAGTCACTAAGTGAAACCAGGACTCTGCTTATGATCTTCCTTCAGCTTTCCTTTCCTTTACAGACCTGCGAAGGTCATAAATGCAAGGACTGGTTGCAAAGTTACTTTCTCATCACTGTCATAACTGCGAAAATGAGGACTACCTGTAAATAAAATAAAACAAAGCTGCAAGGGTTGTTATGCTGTTATAGAACCAGGGTTTTTCATTAACTCACCTACCAGCTCATACAGCCAGCATGATTGTCCTCAAGCCAAAGTAGGGAAAAAATGCCCCCTTGCACAAGGTTGACGGTAGCATTTTCTGCCTTTCAGTTATGTATGGGGTAAATTCATCTCTCTCATTTTATCTAGGAGTCCCAAGTGCTCCATCCTCCATTTTTATGTGCACAACAACCCTTCAAAGTAGGTTAGGCTATGACTGGATCCCAAGTCATCCAGGGAGCTTTCATAGCTGAGATGGACTTGAAACTGGGTTTCCCCATTCCTGGTCCAGCACCCTGATTGCTGGAGCACATGGATTCACCATAAAAATGTTGGTCTGTCTAGCTGGATATTATTCACACTGACGGGAAGTATTTTTTCAGCTCCACCTGGCAATGTTAGGAATTACTATTGATTCAGGTCATTATGTCGCTGATAAATCTATCAGCCGTTTATGCCAAGATATAAAATTGAAATTAAAAGCAGCAATGAAAAAACTGGGACTTTCTCCATGTAAAATCTCCTCTTCCGTTGCCAGAATTGTGATCTCTCCAAAATGTTGGCAATCAGTTAGACCCTCAGGGAAGACATTAAGAAATGGAATAGATTTTCTTTGAGTAATTGCAGGGCGATCCCATTTAGGGAATGTTTTATATACCGATTTTTGGAGTAGGCTTAAAGGAAGGGTGCAAACATGAAATGCAAGCGAGCGACAGGGTGTGCAACACCAAGGCCAATTGTTCCAGAAGTGTGGGTTTCAATTACAGGAAAATAGATTTGCGGGACATCAGGAAAAATTTTTTTAGCGGTCAGACCTGTTCTGCAGTGGGAAAAACTGCCCTGGGGAGTGGTCGATTTTTGACTGGAAGTGTTAAACAGAAGCTGGATGGCCATCAGTCAGGGATCTATGGTAGGGAATTCTTGCACTGGACGGGGGATTGGACTAGATCAGTGTTTTTCAAACTTGGCCGCTTTAAGATGGGTGGACTTCAGCTCCCAGAATTCCCCAGCCAGCATGGCTGGCTGGGGAATTCTGGGAGTTGAAGTCCACTCATCTTAAAGTGGCCAAGGTTGAGAAACACTGGACCAGATGAATTTCAGGATCCCTTTCCAACAGTTTGTATTTTTATGTGAACCCAAGGACAGAAAACGATCTACAAAACAGCAGTAGAGACGCCCCCCTCCCCAGTCTGAGAGTTCGGCGCCTGAAAAGCATATAATCAAAATGTGAGATCTGGGTGCGATAGGATCTAGCTATCCCACCGAGATCATTCTCAAACGGTGGGGCTGCAGCAGAAAAGGCCCGACCTGTTACGATCGCTAAGTTAGCCTCTGTCCATGCGGGTCGTCTAGTCTGGTTGGCAAATGGAACGGGGTTTAATTTTTCTCCCTAACCGTCTGCCTATCAGCCAGGAAGATTTCCTTGCTGAACCCCAGCTGATCGAAGGCAAAGTCTGTAGCCTCTTCGGGCATTGAACAAGTTTGTCTGCTTTCATACAGCTCTGGGTTTGAATTTTTTCTTTTTTAAAGGCTTGATGTGAGCCCTGCTGTTCTCTTTAGCAGGAATGCCACATTTTGGGGGTGGTTATGTTAAGACGGGCCTTAGCAGCGCATTGTCTTTAAGATTCATTGCCATCTCCTGTGCCTCTGGCTAAAACCTGCACTTAGGCGGAGGGGAGGAGGCTTCCTGCAACCTTGAACCATCCCGCATCTTTTTTAATCATTGCCAGCTCTGCAGAAGGCTGAAAAAAACCAGCCTGTGTGTGATACCTGGCCCTGGTCTGTACAACCCCCCTCCCCGCTTTTCCCCAGTTATTTATAGCCCTGAAATGGCCGTGTTGTGATTTGCACAGCGTCTTTCGAACAGGCTGCAAAAGGATCCTGCAAGGTGCAGGGAGAAAAGGGGGAAACGGCCGGGGTCGCCCTGCTCCGCCCCCACAAGTTGTCCAGCATCATCTGGCAGAAGGGAAAAGTCTTCCCTGCCATTGCCTTGGAAGGTGGCTTGCTGACCTGGGCATCCATGGGCAGTTTGCATCAGCCGACCAGGACAGCAAATAATGATGATTTATCTCCATTCCCAAGCCAAGCTCGGGGACACTTGACGGCACGCTAGCCCCGGTGCTGGCTTGAAAGCTGCCCTGGGTGGGGCAGGAGGGAGCAATCAGGCTCTTTCCATCATCTTCCACTGAAGCTGTTGAGAACCAGCTGGGGCTTCGTTCTTCCTTTTCTTCCCCGGCTTTGCTCCGTTGGCTTCGGCCACGCAGTTTTAAATCTGCTTCCTTCCACGGCTGCCTGGGGTTGAAAACAGCCACGCCGAAACCCTTGGGCCTGCGAGAAAGAAGGGAGCTGGACACGGTGGATTGGTTTTCAAAGCACATTTAACTTGGCTCCGGCCATTGCCCATTTTCTAGAGGCACAGAAGACGCGGAATTGGCAGTGAAGTGGGCCTTTGCGCTTCCTGCTCTGCTCCCGAACGATCCAGCCGTGCTGAAATGATGGCGAACGAAGCTGAACGTAGTGTGCAGACGCAGTGAACCCGTGTCATGTACGGGCGCAGCTTGTTCCTCCCAGACAGGCGATGCCTTGTAGGAAAGTCTCTGCCCAAACCATGACTTTGTGGTGGGGAAAACTGGAGAGTGAATTTAGTTTGGGATCAGCAGCGAAATAGCTCAGAGTGCGGGGGCCTGAAAGGAAGATTAACCGGGTGAGAATTTTGTGGGCATTTGGTGCAAGTCACAGCAATGGCATCGCGACATCACTGCGTTGTCATGAACATCATGATATTGTTGCGCAAACGATGCGAACTCTGGCTTTTGTGTCATTTGGAGGAGGATGCCGTGACCCATAAGGCACCATTTGCCGGCCACAAGGGATGTCCGCAGGCAGTTGAGTTTCGCGGGAATGAGAAAACATCTTCATTTCAGGCATATTTAGGGACCCAAGGCTATAAATGTTTGCCTGACCTGGATCTGGGGTTGCTAAGGGGGATTGGGAGAAGGGAAAAAATTCACAGCTTAGATCTGAAGGTTCACTTTCTTCCTTGGTGGCCCAGGAGAAACCAGGTTCGGAGCGTTTGTGTCTCCTTCCTCACCCCTGGAACCCAGGGCAAGATCCTCCGCTGTTCACAAAGGGATTGCGTTATGACACCCCTTGTCTCTTGCTGTTGGGAAGGTTCTGGCAACAGGATTGGGCCTTGAGTCTGTTTGCTTCGAGGAGGACAAGTGTGTTGTGTGAATTTACTCCCTTGTGGTTTTGAACCTGCAGTTTAGGTCTCAGAGGTTTTGCACGAACACCACCAGCTCCGGTCTGTTGAATAACCCGTGGGATGATCTCGCCATGACGTGCGGAAGCTGGTCTGTCCTTGGGTGCCAGAACGCTCTGCGTGTCCCCGAGGCCAAGCTCCTCCGGTCTCCCTCCCTTGCTGGATTTGGGCCAGTGAGAAAAACATCAGAACGGGTAGCCAAAGGAGACGGGGAAACACACAGAATTTCTCTTACGCTGGTCACACAGTGCCAAGCTCGCCCGGGCCCAGATTCGTGTTACTTTGAGAAGAGTTTCAAACCCATCTTTGGAAACTTTAAAATTGCCTCGGCCTGAACAAGAGAAGAGGATGGGGTTGAAAGAAACGATGGTGCCCCTGGGAGGATCCTTTCTTCCAGAGTTTTTAATTATTTCTGTTTGGTCAAGCCTGAGCGGGGCATATTGAGAAGGAGAATTTGCAGCTTTCCTGCCACGGTGCCCGCATCGCTGCGCCTGTTTGGCACGCACCCCAGAAGATTGATGGCCCGTTGAATGGAGCAGGAGGGCTGAACTGATTCCTTATTTGTAGCGGCTTGTCTGCACTCCAGCTCACTGCGGACTCGCGCGCTCCGGCCATGCCAGGTGCCGCTGGTAATTGAGCTGAAAAGGCGTCAGCGAGCCAGGCAGCTTTTGACAGCCCCGAGTGAGCAGTTCGGCTGACGGGGGGGGGGGCGGAGAGTTGTGTGGCTAGTCCCCTCAATACATGGTGGGGGAAGGATGGCTTCCTTTGCATATCAATTGACTAATTAAAACCCAGGAAATGATGGGGGGCCTTGGAGGTGGGCCCTGAGGAGCAGTGGAAAAATGGGATTTGGGGGCTTCATTAGTGCAGGCTGTCTGTGCTCTCTTGCCCACCCATTGCTTTGCCCACCCACCTGCCCCAATTATGGATCTCTTCCTCCATGCCCAGCTTTCTTAGACTGACGCCCGAGTGCAGAGGAAGAATCCAGTGGTGGGGATTCCAAGCGAGAGTTCCAGAGTGAAAGAGAAAATCAGAATTTGAACTCCCAACCCGGTCGAAACTCGATCTCCCAAAGTTCTCCAGGGTTGCCACTTGCAGGGAAGAGACCACACTTGTATTGCTGAAAATGTTGATTGATATCCTGCCTTTTGTCTAGCGCCAGCTCGGGGGCAGCACTGAGCTAACTATGGCGGAAGTTGGGCCTGGGTAATATTTGGACAGGAGGCCACCAGGAAGTCCTGGAGTGGAAAGGTAGACTGGGAAGTTGGAGGAACAAGTGAGAAGAAAGCCGTTTCCGGGCAGCCATTGGGAATTGAGTTGGGCTCAAAGGAGGATTAATTTTAGGCTGTTTTAAACAGGAGTTATTTTTCCTTTTCCTTGGATAGTCTGAGGTAGCCTACTGGCATGCCTTCCTCCATTGTTTCCTACCCACAACTGCCACAACCTCCCTGTGAGGTAGGCTGGGCCAAAGGCACCCAGGGAACCTCATCTTCGCCACTGTATTTTACTGTCTGTCTGCACCCAGGGTCTCCCCACAGAGAGGGTAGAGGAGCACAGAGAGGACCTTGGAGAAGGTATGTGGCGACCCTGAGGAAAATGTGAGCTTAGCCCAGAAAACAAAGCATGAGAAAGAAACTCAAGATGGCCCCCCCTTGATTCCCTTTGGAGGGAAGGAGAAAGGCTGTTTCTGTTGCTAGGCCAGTGTTTTTCAACCTTGGCAACTTTGAGACGTGTGGACTTCAACTCCCAGAATTCCCCAGCCAGCCATGCT